TATATATATACAGGTATACCTATGAGTATTAACTTCCTGTTTTAGCTATACAACACTTTCTATTGCTTAGTCATATACTCCTTCACCAAATGTTGCTTCTTTGGAGTATCAAATTTTGTCAATCTAATAATTGAGTATAGTTTACTGACCTGTTCTCTCAGCTCTCAATTATTATACACCCTTCCTTTCTCTACTTTCACTTAACATAAGTTCCATCTCTCTGCTCTCCTCCTCTTTTTCTCTTTTTCTTGTCTTTGCATCTTTTCCTCTTCTCTCTCTCTCTCTATATATATAGATATATAAAGAGAGAGAGAGAGAAAGAGAGAGTAGGCTAGAGAAAGTTAAACACTATTGATAATTACAGTAGAAATATATGTATTTATATATATTATATTATTACTCTAATTATCAGTAATGTTTAATTTTCTCTAGCCCACTCTATTTTACTTCACTCTCTTAATTTTCCCTGGGTAGCAGAATAATAAAGACCTCTTTAAAAATGCACCTGCATTGACAAACTACTCTGGAATACTCATCCTAGCCAACAGACAGGACAATTTTGTTCTTTTATTCTCTTTGCTTGTTCTTCTCTTCTTTTTTACTTGTTTATTGGTATTTATTTTTATGTAAAGTAGTTTGTCAATGCAAATCCTCAATTATCTAATAATATGTGTTTAGCTTCTCATGTGTTTATATTACTATTTTACACTCTCCTCCCAAAGCTGAGCCTGGCATCCAGTAAATGGGGACTTTCACACAGAGACACTATCTCTATATTGCCTATGAGGGAAACAACTCCTCTGCAAAATCATAAAGACTGAAAGCGAAAGGATGAAAAATCTTACTCTAACCAGCTGCAGCCTAAAAGCAGGCACTGTACTCATGTCAAAGTTGACGTCAAACATAGAAGGAAGGCACTCACTATATATTGGTAAATGGAACAACTCAACGAGAAAAGTTAACAGTTGTAAATATATATGCACTGAAGGCTGGCACACTCAACTACATAAATAAACCCTATTTGACTTAACAGGACACATAGACACTAACACATTGATAGTGAGGGCAGGAATAAGACAAGGGTGTACACTTTCACTTCTTCTGCTTAATATATTACTTGAAACTTACTCAGAGCAATCAGGGTAGAGAATGAAAAAAAAGAGACAGAAATAAAAAATGAAGTCAAATTTTCCTATTTGTAAAGTATATGAGTATTGACATAAGACCCCAAAAGTACACCAGAAGTCTTATAAATCTGATAAACAAAGTCAGGAAAGTGACAAGACAAAAAAACAACATACAAAAATCAAAAGCATTCCTGTAAACTAACAATGAATCGACTGAGAAAGAAATCAATTGCATCCACAGTAATTTCAAAATTAATTAAATACACAATGATCAACCTAACAAAGGAGGTGAAAAACCTCTACAACAAAAATTATAGAACCTTGAAGAAAGAAATTGAGGAAGACATTAGCAAAAAGAAAGACATCACTTCTTTATGAATCAGAAGGATCAGTGCGAAAATGGCAGCATTACCAAAAGAGATTTATACAATCAATGTAGTCCTTATTAAAATATCAACAGCATACTTCAAAAAAATAGAAAAAGCAATCTTGCAATTCATAACAGGCCATATAAGACCCATAATAGACAAAGCAGTACTGAGCAAAAAGGGCAACCCCCAAGGATCACAGTTTCAGACTTCAAGCTCCACCACAAAGCCACAGTAACAAAAACAACAACAACAAAAATGGAACTGAACAAAAAAGGAACACATGCATACCAATGGAATAGAATAAAAAATACAAAAATAAACACATCTAGTTTTTACAAAGGGGCCAAAAACATACACTGGAGAAAAGAGAGTCTCTTTAAAAATAGTGCCAGGAAAACTGGATTCCCACATGCAGAAGATTATGACTAGATTCCAGTCTCTGACCCAATGCTAAAAATGTCAAAATGGATCAAAGACCTAGATAAAGACAGAAACTTGAAACTCCTGGTAGATAATATAGGGGAAATACTTGGCAAAAGTACCAGCAATGCTTCCTGAGTAGGACTCTAAAAGAACAAGAATGAATATAAAAAATCAACAGATGGAATTACATCAAAATAAAAAGCTTTTGCAAATTAACAGAGTAAATAGAGATCCACTAAATGGGGAAAAATTTCTAGCTAATCCTCAGAGGATTAATATCTAGACTATATAAGCAAATCAAAATAGTCATACCAAAACATTAAATAACCCAATAAAAGTGGGCCAATGAACTAAACAGATGCTTCTCAAAATACAAAATACAAAGTCACAAGTAAGCATCTAAGAATACATTTTGAGCTATTACAGGAATGTAAACCAGGACTACTGTGGTTCTATCTCACACCAGCCAGAGTGACTATTATCAAGAATATAAAACAGAATGAATTCTGGCAAGGATGTAAGGAATAATGAACTCCCCTAATCATGTCGGAGGGAATGGAAGCTAGTACAACCACTATTGAAATCAGTATGGACAGTTCATGAAAGACTAAACATTGAAATGCCACTTGATCCAGCTAAACCCACCTGGGGATGTCCCCAAAAGAAAGAATACTATGGTGGCCCATGCACCCATATTCATAGTTGTACCATGAACATTATCCTGATTTATGGAAATAGCCTTGATGTCAGCGAACAAATGAATAGGCAGAGAAGTATATACCCAACAAAATATTATTCAGCCATAAAGATAAATGAAATCATGTCACTTACAGGAAAATGAATGGAATTAGAGATCATGATGTTGGAAATTAAGCCATATTCAGGAGGTTAAATATCACATACTTTCTCTTATATAAAAAATAAATAAATAAATAAATAAATAAGTAAATAAAAGATGAGAGGACACTGGGATACAGACTATTGAAGATGAGGAAGAGGATGAGAGGGCCTGGGGAGGAAAAGGAGAAGGAGATAAAAGGATAAAGAAAATCAAAACATGTTAAATGCATGTGATAATTTACCAAAATGAGCTTCACCCTTTTATTATTAACATGTACTAACATAAATAAATAAATAAATAAATAAATAATTAAATAAACAAACTTTACCATGAAAAGTGAAGGAAATATATCTAATTCTTTCTTAGCCAAGTGAGGACTTATTTCTATTGAGATAACTCATCAAATAATGAGGTATTCAGTATATTTTGCCAGCCAAACATTACTTCACTTTACTTAAATATGAAATCAAATAAATAACATCCTTCCTTACTGCAGCATTGCATTGTTGTTTATAACAGTATAGAATAAGGGGTAGCCAACAGTCAAGGAACAGCCAAATAATTACTTCAATTGAATTACCCACCCCCTTATGGAAAACTGCACACCACGTGCTGGAAACATGGGAAATGCAGAAATTATGAAATTACATGTAGAAATAAGACTACAAAGTATTATCTTAACAATAACCAAAAAAGACATTTTGTGGGCACGGATCAAAAGAGAACAAAAGAATTTTTTAAGAAAAATATGTACTGAAGTGTTATTATAGGTGACTGTGTCCCAGTTTTTGGTGTAAGCAAAAAGTGCTTTAGGCTACTATGCAATTCTCTTCATTCATGGGCCAGTTGTCCAACTGACCATCACAAGTGACACTTCTTAGATGTAAGTGCACAGCGCTGAATAAATGTGAGTAGATTTGGGATCTAGCTTCGTGAGTGGTGGTGGTGTTTACTTCTGAATTCACTACTTCTGAGGGGATTTATTCTCTTGTTGTCTTTCTGAAGGATGGGATAAACTCCCTCTGTTTGTTCTCATTCACTAGCCCTTCCAGACCATGGGTCATCTCTTCCCCCATTGCCCAGAGCTGGGAGAACAATAAGAATAAGACACAATGGAGGTTCTGTTTTGGGCAAAGAGTGACCAAATCTGTAGTACTGAATCAAAGATAAATATTCAATTTCCAGTCAAATATTTTTCCTCCCACCCATCTTGTCTCTTTCTCCAACATCTGTGGATTGTGCCTGACTGAGCCCCACTCACTGAACTCGCCTCTCCATCTCTCCTTAGATATGGTGGCCTGTGTTGTACCTTCTGAATGTAGGAGGCATTGTGGCACTGAAGCTGGCTGCACAAATTATGCCTACCCTACACTGGTGCTGGAACTGATGCCAGCTGGTAAGTGACTATTCATGCTCAACCTTGGAGGCTGGGTATAGATGGGTTAAGAAGGAGGTGAAATAATCCTGGATAATTCTTACTTTCATTAATTTAATTCTACTAATTGGACATTTCTTAAGCACTTCCCCTAGGCTGTCAGCAATGGGATGATCCTGGAGTGTTCAAATCTGAGAAATTTCTGTTGGAAGCATCTTTAGTCCTCCAGATTCAGACTCTCATCCAACCTACTCAGTCAAAAACATTTGAATGACCTATTTGTTAATAAAGGAATTATACAGCTATAAATTTATAATCTCAGAGAACTAGAGGTTGATTATTTACTTTGCAATTTTAGGCCAGTGATACCCAAATGACATATTTCAATGTACTGGCTTTATATCTATTTATTAAATACATTTTCCATGCACTGCCTTGGTGCTTAGAAAAGTTCAGTGAAATAAGAATAAATCCCTCTCCACTTTGGAGTACATATTACACTTTTACAAGAGACAAAATGTCACATCTATGACATAAGTAAATGATAAGGATTTCAGATCATTATCATTACAGTAGCAAAAACAAAATACGGTACAGATCTCAGAAATGAGCAGGTGATCTTGCACTGTATGGCCTTCAAAGGTTGGCTAACAGTTCTGTGACTTCTCTCCTCCCTGAATATTTCAGGATGAAGGAAACATGACCCAAAAATGCGGCCTCACATACACCCCATCCCACCCTATGCCAGGAGCCTTACAGATAGATCATTAATAATGAGCAGAAAGTTCTGAAATGTGAAATTCCAATAATGCTTTAATTCCCAAATATTGGTCCACCCAGAGCTCTTCAGCAGTGCCACCTACCAGGCCTCTACAGTTCTCTCAGTGTTTAGGAAGTCTAGAGTTTCTCTTCTAAAAAAAGATGAGGCTCTATTCTTTCCCCTCTTCCAAAATAACTTTCCAGTAAGTCATGTCTAAGTTCATATTTAGAGTTAAATTTATTTGATTATTCTCAAATCACAAGGAAATATGCAGAAAATACTACATGCCGATATGTGTATATTCATAATAATGATATTAGCTAATCAAAGTTTCCTATTATATGTTCACCTCTGAATGTTGTGCAGTTTAGCACAGCACTTGTAGAATATGGCATCCAGCTTCTAACTAGTATTTAAACTCTCTCTGGCCCTAGGACTTCGAGGCCTGATGCTATCAGTCATGTTGGCCTCCCTCATGAGCTCCCTGACCTCCCTGTTCAACAGTGCCAGCACGCTCTTCACCATGGATATATACACCAAGATAAGGAAGCACGCATCAGAGAAAGAGCTCATGATTGCTGGACGGTGAGGGAACCTTGATTTCTACCAAGAAGAGATGTAGAAGTGGGCTACAGGCCCCCAGCCTTTAGCTTTAACATAGAGTTCTACTCTTGGGGGCAATATCGTTAGAAAATATTTATTTCACTTAACATTATGGTCTCAAGGCAAATCCATTTTCCTACAAATACCTCCAGTTTATTGTTTTTATGGCAGAGTATTGGGTTAATAATATCCCTCAGTTTTTGAGGGCTGATCACATCCACAATCTCTCAGATGAATGTACTTCAAAGGCTAAATAAAATGAGGCAAATGAAATGATTTCAGTGCTCCAGGAGGATCAAAGCCCTCTCATAGAATTCGAAATTCTCTCAAGGCTAAGACCTAGGCATTCTCTAGCGGGGGGGCATATTCATTTAGTTCTCAGAAGAAGGGAGGGGAGAACTTCAGCAAGGCAAAACCACTCAAGGACTTCTCCAAGTAAGGTATTAAGTTAAACCACCCAGAAGTGAGATCCCTGAGGCTATAGTCTTTATCTAGTTGAGGTTGGATCCAGGTGTGCATGGTCATGAACTTGTCTCATCCTTTAAGGTTTTCTAGCTTCATCTGCCATTACAGACCTCAGTAGAGATCAGTGACTCACAGAGATTCACTTACTATGAGTCCACTGCCCATCTCCAGACAAAGAACCCAGGCCTTAGACAGATTCACCAGTAAACATAAAAAGCCCATTGGTTAATGTAAATCCTGCTCAAGGCTGCTTCATTGTGGTCTCTATCAGCAGAGTAGTACTTTACTGTGTGGAGACACCACATTTTCTTTATCTTTTCATCTGTTGATGGATCTATAGGCCACATCCAAGATTTATCTATTATGAATTGTGCTGCTATAAACATGAGCCTACATTTTATACTGTAAACATGTACTAAGAAAAAAAGAAAATGTTTAACTAAACTTTTCTCTTTCCAGGTACAAAGTTGAGGTCATACAAGCTGCTTTTTTAGACCTTCAAATGTATCTCATTGTTACTTATTTCCTCCTTTCCTCACACCCTCTAGCCACATATGTGCAAAACTCCATTAATGGTGTTATGGGGTATAATTCCAAATTCTGTTTTACATGTTCTCTATAGAAATTTCCATGTGTATTACATGGGCTCATAGAGTAAGTCATCCACCCAGGAACAGATGAGTTTATCAGCTATTCCATTCGAAAAGGACTGGCCCTTGCTGCAAATGGACAGACTCAAGGCAGGAAACAGTTCCACTGAGGGAGCCCTGAGCAGCCCAGGGGCCTTGAAGGCAGTGAGGTGGAAGAAAACAACCAGAAACCTTGTAAAACATAGTTTGGTTTTTCCCTTCATGATTTCCAAAGAGAATTTATTTCTACATCATTTTTAAAATGTTTCTAAAATTAAAATACAGCACACATACATAAATCACATAAAACATAAATGTGTATCTCAGTGATGCTCCCAAAAAACGAGCATCTGAGTAACCACAAGTCAAGAAATAGAAATTACCAACACTCAGAATCTCCTCTGTCCAAGCTAAATACTGTAATTTCTAATGCAATAATTTAGTCTTTAGAGTTTGCTACTAGTATAATTAGAATAACCCAATAAGCTAACAGTTCTTGTTATGCTTGTGACATGTAGTCATGTTGCAATGTGTAGTGATATCTTATTCATTTTCTTGTTCTATACTTTCTATCACAGTAATATAATAGATTTGACTGTATTCTCCATAGACCTCTGGCCTGAGCATTCTCATCTAGGTCTCATAGTGCACATGGGCATATACTCCTCAGCAGTAGATTACTATATGTGTGCATAGCTTTCACTCTCTGACTTTTAAAATTAAGTCATATTAAAAGTTCTGATTAAAAGGAAATGTGGAAGGAGACCTTGAAAGAAAAGAAACTGATTCTGACTCTTGCAAACATAATCAAAGTGATAGTGGTAATAATTTTAAATATAAAGTTATGATAGGTATATCATTTCTAAGTTTACACTTTCTAATTCTTAGTAACATACTTAGTATAGAGGGAAAACAAGTCACTATGTATGTATGCCTTAGCACATGCAATTAATTCAGCAGTCCTGAAACTAGGTGGAAATTAAACTAAAATCTCTTCATTCCTGTGGCTTGCTAAATTGGGTAAGCTGGAACTCCAGGCCTCAGTAATGCTAAGGTAGAGACATTCTCAGTACAGTATTCAAGTGTAGTTTCTATGATGATCAGTACTGAAGGAGCACTGATATTTTTTCAGTCAAATTAGCGTCAAGAGAAACTTCCCATCTATTGCTTTGTTGGAGATAATAGCAACAGCTTTAGTACACTGAATACTTACAGAGACAACGCAAAGACCTTACTTGGCCTAAATCTTAACTTCTAATAAATGCAATAAGAGAGGCAGGAACAGTAAAGCATTTATGTCTCTGTGGGAGAGAAGGTGCTGGACTAGAACTCATGAGTTCCAAGATACAGGAGTCCCACTAAGAGCTGCAAGATCTTGGGCACCAAGATTTTCTTTTCCTGTTTTATCTAATGCTTACAGAACATTTTTCAGAACATGAAACATTTTTCAGAATATGAACATGAAACAACACTATCTTCTAAAATTCCTACCTCATAGAATTTATGCCTTTGTGAGGAAAATGAACAATTAATAAGTATAAAATTCATCAAGTGGTCAGAAATTCTGAAAAAACAAGGCAGATGAGAAGATGGAGGCAATTTAATAAGTTTCAGGGAATATGTCTGAGGAAATGGCACTTAAGCAGCATTGTGAAGGAGGTGTGGGAGGGAGCCCCATGATTTTCTTGTGTAAGTGCCCTAAATGAGCCATTCCTCTGACATCATAGGCACTTCTGAGCCTATGTTTGCGTTTAATATTTAAGTAATATTGTTTTTCTACTATGCTGCCTGTCGGCCTACTACTTGTCATGAGCATTCAGTGGTTCCCAGTAGCACAGGTGTTTCAAAATGGACAACCAGTCCATTAGCTGTGATCACCTTCTAGCTACATTCAGCCTCCAACAGCAGTTGTCTTCCTGTTTGCCATCATCTATAGAAGGGTCAGAGAAAAGTGCATGGCTTTGTTGACAACAAAGACTAAGGCTGACTTGTGGTTGTACAGTAAGATCCTGGGATCTGAGGAATATCTAATAGCTTTTTACTATTCACCAATATGTTAGGCAAATCTTTCTACCTACTAGAATACTTGAGTAGTAAAATGTACAAGTTACCATTTCTTGCCAATACATTCAGCAATTGGGATTGCAAGCTATTTCCATTCTAATCTATGTAAACAGGCTTAATTTCCCTCAAGCCGGGAAAGAACAAACATAGAAAGTGTGATGTGTATTGCTAACTGATTTAAAAATTACATATGAGAATTATTAATCAACTGATGACATTTCAATTGTTTTGTGCATGTATTTTAATCTCAGATGAACATATTCTGATCAACTGTAAGCAAGAAACTATTGAAATTTTATGAACAGATAATCATTAGACATAGTATGGGATCACACAAGGTGAAGAAGTTTGATTTGTGTTTGGAAAACCAGTGAAAAAGCACAAGAACGAATTAAAAAATTAAGCCCAAAGGAGATGCTTGCAATGCTTTTATTTAATATTTAAATCATTTTGTTTTCCTATAAGGCTATTTGTCATCCTGCTACTTGTCATCAGCATTGTGTGGGTCCCATTAATACAAGCGTCTCAAAATGCACAACTGTTCCATTACATGTCATCAGTTGCTAGCTATCTTGGGCCCACAGTTGCAGCTATCTTTGTACTTGCCATCTTCTATAAAAGAGTCAATGAACAGGTAAGTGAAAACTGGAAAAACTGTTCCCCACCACAGTGAGAAGAAACAGTTGTTTGCTAAGACAGGACAACAATTCTTTCAGTTGAGTATGATGGCCCATGCTTACAGTCCCAGCCTCTTGGAAGCTACGGAAGTAAGATAATTTGAGGCCAGTAGGTCAAGACCATGCTTGGTAACACATGAGGACTCTATCTCAAGGAAAAAAACTCCTTTCTAGCCTATGTACACAATTCAAGATCCATTTAAATTCAGTTGTGGTAAGCCACAGCTCCTGATCCTTAAAAATGTGTGTTTTACACTAAAAAATGTTTAAATATATAGTTCATACTCATCCTAAAGCCCTTATGCTTCCTAAAAATTGTTATGTGCCCTCTTGGCACAGTGCTGAGGAAAACAAGTGGGTGAGACATAGTTCCAGGGTTCAGTCATGGCTCTTCTATGTTAGACTATTGTGAATTTAAGTAAACAAGGTGACCTTGTTATATGAAAATAATGATGCTGCTAGCTTAATGCATTACTGGGAGGATCACATTGGATAAATACGTGAAATGTTTAAAAGAAAACACACTAATAAGTATTAAAATATGTTGTTATTTGACGTAAAACATGAATTGATTCTGATGAGCTTTTTTTATTTAATTGCTTAATTACTTCTGTTAGTCTTATTACTATAATTTTCAGAGAGGAACAGGTGCAAAGAGCTTAATATCTACATGCATGGAATATCTTACATAGTAAGTGGGGTTTGGGGATTCAGACTTTATCTTCCTCCATCCAAAGGTCATAATCTTAATTTCCACACTATACTATTTTCTTAAAATATATCATGCAGAGAACAGAACAGAGGGCATAAGTTTCTAACCACTGTTCACATCTCAGGGAAGATAAATACTTTTAATTCTCAGGAACTTAGTAGAACTCTCAAAACATCTCAATTTTAGCTGAAATTTACACACTAAAAATTGCACAATATGTTGTACTTCATTAAAGGTCAATCAGCTTTGATCAGAGTAGACTATAATGTCCTAGAGTTTTAGAATGAAAATGAAGTGATGAATGTGAAGAATACCTTAATTTAATCCTTCATAATGTATACATCAAAATATAACCTAATTATTCCTAAAAATGTGCACAATTCTTATTTTTAATTAAGAATGCATAAGATTGTCAAAAAGTAAAATGATACCTCAGAAGCCAACAACCCACTAATACGCAGACATATTTGCGAATTTCCTTGCTTTAAAAAACTTGTGTTCATGGTTAGCCATTAATGGTCCTTCTGCTGAAAAAATAGGCAGGATGGTAATTATGATTTATTTGAATAATGGCCTCATCTTTTCTTTAAAATTTATTTTGCTATTATTTCCTTTTCAGGGAGCATTCTGGGGTCTAGTACTTGGACTTGCAATGGGCCTCATTCGAATGATTATAGAATTTGCCTACGGAACAGGAAGTTGTGTGGTTGCCAGCAACTGTCCTAAGATTATCTGTGGAGTGCACTATATGTATTTTGCCATCATTCTCTTTTTTGTGTCTATGCTGGTCATCGTAGGAATTTCACTTCTGACAAAACCAATTCCTGATGTACATGTGAGTGATGTATAATGATTACATGCTTATCCTAAAGTAAGAGTTCTTTGCCATCTAAGACTGTGACATGTACACAGTTTCAGGTTAGTGGAATCATTACACCACTAGAGCCAGAAGCACCCTAAAAGGCTATCATGCAGTCACTCAACTAAACAATTTTGTACCTGTTACATGTGAAGCACCAGGAAATTAAGAAGTAAGACATTGGGAAATGAGCTGGAGACTTAAAACATATTTTCACAATGCACTTGGCAGGTCAGTCTACACACCTGTTAAAAGATAGTGTGAGAGTACTTAGTTTTGCTTAAAAGACTGGAAAACACCTCACAGAAGAGTTCCTAATTGGACTGAGCCACTTTGTGGATGATTTGGATTTCATATACAACATGAAAACTGGCACAGAGATTTTAAAAATTCATAGTAACAGGTGGCAAGGAAAGGAAAAATAGTTGAGCGTGGTCTTGCACACCTGTAAGTCCAGCATACAGGAGGCTGAAGCAGGAAAATTCTTCAGATTTCCAGGCCAACCTAGGCTACACTGTGAGTTTAAGTCCAGCCTGAACTATGTAGCAAAACCGCGTCTCAGAAAAAAAGGGAAATTACAATGGCTTTATGTTTCACTTTTCCATTTCAGTAATTTACATAGACACATTACACATGCAGGAAAATCTATTTATGAACATTACCTCAGCAACAGTATTCAAATAGAAAAACATGAGGGCAATCTAGATTTTGATCAGTAAGAAAAGAGTACACAATGAGGGAAGGCTACTTAAACTCCTTTCAAAAAGTTCATAATATGAGAAGTAGGGGGGAAATCTCATACAGAATTATAGTAGCATAATATTACTTTTAGAATAAATTACATGTAAACATACATCTACTTGCCTAAGCATTAAAGAAAATATAAAGCACATCTGTAATTTCCAAAGATATTGTCTCTAAAAGAGGGACATCATAAAGACCTAGAAAATGTTAGTCATTTTTAAAGCTACTACTTATGTATTAATATCATTTGAATTTATTACTAATGGATATAGCTTTGTATACCTTGGGTTTGTCAACATCATCTTTGAAACAATACCTATTTGCACATATCCTTGAGGAGTAACTACTAGATGATGTATGACTGCAGATCCTGAAGCACAGGATGATTAAAATCATTTTACCAAAGAGTTTCAACAGAATGTATCACTAAATGTTTACAATAAATTTTGAGAGTTGACTGAAAGAACACTGAAAAGCATATATCATAGTTTCCAAAGAAAAAATGTAAGTAGTAAACTCATATAAATGACAATAGATATAACCATAATGTACTCTTAATTATTAGAAAATCAGTTGTCAGAGGATGAGACCATTTATCGAACTTGTTTATGATTCAAAATACTGTGAGGTCTGAACTTTCCAATCAGATGGATAAATATCAACAGTTAATTCACAGATGGTCATGGAAAGTATGGTAGACCTAACCTAGCACAGCAGTTACAAGATATCCCAGGATGACTGTTCGGAGCAAGACTAGAATGAACGTGATGCAAGTTAAGGCAAGAATTGAAGGAGTCCAAAGACAAAAGTTTTAACAAGGGAAGTGTATTTAATACAAGAAATGTGTGAGTAAGAGCTGTAAGCTCTGATGAGGAAGCTTTGTGATATGCTCAAGGTGTATGCTTCTTAGGTCAATAACAAGTAAGAAAGTTCAACACAAATTCTAGTAAATTGGTACAAGAAAATCATGGGCCATAGACCAAATCAATGAATGCAAGACTGAAAATTTGATGGATTACAAATTTACAAGTTTACTGATACTTGAAGAAAAATTTCTTAGAGGGGCACAAAGCTGGTATTTATTCATTTTATCTAACCACATGAATTTAATCTGTGACAAAAAGAAAGAAAAGTAACATGTATGTTATTTCTTTTTAAATTTTTAATCAACATACAGACTAATTGTGGAAATTGTAATTTATATACACAAAGCAAAATTCTGTGGAACTTGGTTTAAAATAACAGTGTAGATGAGAGAAACTTGCAGGTGAATTAGTAAGACCAAATGTAAGTGTGTTAATTGCAGCTGGACCTGAAGAATGACATAGAGATTGTATCTAAACTACAGACAAAGTTAAAGTAAAAATTGTATAGCTATTAATAATTAAATGATAGGACAATGGGTGAAACAGGGTGAATAGTTTAGCTAAATCTTTGGTTTTCTGAAATCACAATCTAGAAGTTGGAGTTCTAAAACTCTTACTTGGATTGTTGTTTTTAACTGCTAGAAGATTTAAAAACAAAATAATTCAAAATAATTAATGTATATGGTAGGAGACTTTTAGTCATGACCTATAATCTGTGCAGATTGATTGCTTTTAACCATACACTAGGAAAAGATACTATTGGATCATTATAAACATTTGCTCATCACTAATGAACTCATGTCTCTTCTCTTGTCAGCTGCATCGTCTGTGCTGGGCTCTTTGGAACAGTACAGAAGAACGAATTGATTTAGATGCTGAAGACAAAAGGCAGGAAGAAGTTGACACTGTTGAGGAAGGTACTATCAGGCTTGCATTTGGTTTCTGTGTAGGAGCTCTGTGTGCATGGCTTGGTTTTCTTGTATTTTTTTTCAATTTTTAATGCCACTAAGTTGAGCTACCTAAAAAGCTATTAGATTTGTAGCAAACTGAAACTTTCAATTTTTATCCTTTAATCAACCAAGACAGTTGGCTGTTGCATATGAAATCTGTTCATCCAATCTACCCGTCTCTCTATCCATCCATATATGAAACTATGTACCAGCTACTGACACGGCAATCAACCATAGATTGATCTCCTGTTCCTAGTCATATATTGTGTTCGACAAATCTATAGTGATTGTACTCAAGTATCAAGTCTCAAGTTATATTCAACCTTATCTCTCACAATTCTCCAATATATTCTCCACTCCAAATAATCGGTCTTCTTCATTTTTCCCCACATACACTGAGTTCTCCATAATATTTCTATCTCCTATCAAACAGAAGGAAAATATGTGTATTCTTCAAAACTAAGTTCTAATTGCCGTTCCTTTAAGAAAATTCTTCTAGAAATCATCACCATAGTTTTGTTTATTTAGTTACTTAAAAAATCACTGATACAATTAAGTATGTCAAGATATGTTGCCTTGCTTCTGTAGACTGCATTTCTAGTTTGTTATGGCTTATTTCATACAAACTGAAAAAATGATTCATGTCTTCTAGATCTTTGGTTCATTCATATGTGTGCCCCAGCATAAGACTGGCTTACAGTTTTCTTTCACTTGGTTTAAGTGTTGATACCAGTGCTTTTATAAAATAAATCAGAAAGTACCAAATGTTCTTATTTTATGGAAATATTTCAAAAATATCTGATCAATATCTGCAATGAAATTGTAATTTTTTCAGTAATTCTGTTGGGAAAGTTGTTAGAGAGTGTATGTGTGTGTGTGTGTGTGTGTGTGTGTGTGTGTGTATGTGTGTGTGTGTAACAGAGATAGATAGACACACACAAACACAGAGCCACGCAGACACATCGAGACAGACAGAAACCAAGAAATTCAGAGATCAAAGCCCCCTAACTGCTAATTAAACTTATATAATGGCTAGAGCATTAAAGTACCCAATTATGCATTAATCAGCTGTATAATTGTATAAGAGCAAGATGGCATTCATCTATTAGTACACATATATACTGCATAAAATTGTTTGTTAAATGTACTGGCATAAAAGTATTCCATGATCTTTTCCATTTCTGCTGCCTCTGTAGTTCTTTTTTGCTTTTGGTTCCTAATATAATTGCTGTGATTTCACTTTTTTTTCTTGTAAAATCCTACTTAAGACTGTCCAGTGGTAGTGAACCTGTAGTAAGCGTGTTATTTGTTTTCCTTTTATGACAAAAATGTTAATATATGAGTTCTTTTTTTCTAAGTTAAAGCCTCAGTAGTCAGGTTTAATTGCAGTGTTGGCACTTTGTGATAAATAAGTGAGTTTTGCATTTCATTTTGGACACTTATGTCTAAAATGTTCACCATCACTGGACTAAACTATTTTGCTTGTATCAGTGAACCAGCGTTTGGCTTCACTTCTCTGTATTATTATTTTTTCCTATTTCAATACTGCTTCTCATACATATATTCTCCCATTAAAATTATTTGGTTTCATTCTCTTGGGTATAGTTTCTAACAGGCTGGATATTATTTCATTATTTTTTTCTAATGTAAAAACAAAGGTCATACACATTTCCTTCAAAATACTGCTCTTGTTGTATCTCATTTATTTTATTTAATTTTATCACCACTCGTTTCTCAGTCCTACATGCATTATGATTTTTCACAGGCATTTAAATTCAGAAAGATCTTTTCAATTTTTCAACCAAGTAACAAATAGTTTTATATATAAATATTTTTTTACAGATACCTTTGAGATAAATTTCAAGTTTGAGTGTTAGAGGAAAAGATTAATGCCTACCCAATTTGATTAAATTCTCCAAATTCTCCTACAACAAAGTTAAAACATGCTGTCCTAGCAAGAATATATGACAATGTTTGCTTCACACACACACAGACTCACCAACATAACATTCTGTCAAATTTTTGAATTTTTGCCACTGGTACTTCCATGCAGACTTAACTTAAATTTCTGGTTTTTTTGAGTGAGCTTAAAAACAGTTTCTCACCAGAAATGTACTGTGGTGAAACAAGAAACAACTTGTCTTTTATTCTTTTAACTATTTCTTCATCTCTCATATGGGTACATGGGGTTGATGGTCTTCTATGTTTTTCACAGCTCCTTATTTACTAAGGATATTAAATGCTCTTAATATAGCATGCCAATGTTTTCTTCCAACTTCACTTGTGTTTATACTTTACTCGATGGACTTTTATCATGAAAACTTTTCTAGTTTCCATAGTCACATTTAGCTCTATTTTCTCAAGGATCTTTTACAGTCATCTGTACTACATTGATAAGGAATTTTATTTTGTGAAACTTTGCTCATCTTTTTGTGTTTCAGATCTTCCTATGCAGTCTCGTGGGTGTCTCAGGAAAGCTTATGACATATTCTGTGGTTTGCAGAAGACAGGACCCAAACTGACCAAAGAGGAGGAAGAAGCCCTGAAGAAGAAACTCACAGACACATCAGAAAAGCCCCTTTGGAGAACTGTAACGAACATCAGTGCCATCATCCTCGTAACTGTGGCAGTCTTTGTCCATGCCTATTTTGCCTGAACTCTATCTGAGTGAAGGCAATATTATTCAGTTAACGGATAATATTGATTTCAATTTTTATAGTTTGTTATATTTCAAAATAGAGATGTGCAATTTGAAATGCTTTCTAATTTGTTTATATAGACCTGACTTATTTTGTTTTTATCGTCCCTTTGTGTCAAGTATAAATTCTATTTTACAATTTTATTGAGGTATAAATGAAAAAATTTATATATATTAAAGGTACACAATTTGATGACTTCTTACACATATGCATTTTGAAATGGTTCCCACAAAGAAAATTAATGCATTGATCAATGCATATTGTGACCGTTTGTGTTCTGGTGACAATGCTGAACTTCTACTCAGCAAATTTCAAGTGAGAGTATTTTTCAGTATAGTCACCAGGATGCACATTAGAGAAACAGAATGTACTCATTTCACATATGAAAATTTATACCCTTTCTCAACATCCGCTGGGCTCTGTATCCACTGGTGCTCCCTACCATCATCCCACAAATGCTACTGAATTCCAGACTCCACCAAGCCATAAATGCCACTGAATTTGCAGGCTAGATAGAAAGTCTTTATGAGGCACAGACAGATTGTTTGGTGCCAGGAGAAATGTGGAGAGGAATAATGTAATGAGGTTTGGCATGGCTCATAGTGGTATAGGAAGAGTAGAAGTAAGCAGTTGCAGGGGTGATTGTAGAAGGAAGGTGCCAGAGTCCTGCTAAGTGCTCCTTGCCTCTGTACAATTGATAATGCCTAGTCATGAAAGGCAAAATCCTCTGTCTAGTCAATCCCACAGAAGTGCAGCTTAAACTTAGTAGAACTCAGCCTGCAAAAAGAATGACACACCCCTCCCAGCCCTTTTACCCCCTAGTAGGCAAGTCATGGGATGGGAACCAGCTCAAGCACTGGATGGCACACCTGCCCTCCTAGTCACAAACACAGAAGGCTGAATGTCAACAACTCACAACTTCTTTAAGACAAAGTCTTTATTTTTGAACTAAGGGGGAAGAGCACACTGCTCAAATTCTAACTAAAGTATAAATTCTGCCTGCAAATACTCTTTCCTTTTGTGGATACCTGTCTGTGTCTCACTGTGTTTCTTTTCCTCCTTTTATCTGATATGGCTTTTTGAAAGAGCAAAGGGGTGTATTGTTGTTTGCTAGTAAAAGTATAAGGATCTGAGCCATTGCTCTTATTGTGATACTTTCGGTTTTCCCAAGCCAAGGATCATTTCATAAGGTTAATTAAATTAGCTACTTTATTTCATCATAAACTGATCCCAGTCTTCCTGTACACTGCACAGAATTTCCTTTAAACTCCCTGTCCCTTTCCTTTTACTTACTTCCCCTCTAACACCATCATCTCAATCCCCCTCCTTCCCCATTCTTTTGCTGTACACAAATACTATCAAAACAATAAATTTTCTTTTCCTTTTTTCATGCTTTCTTTCACCTGCTATTGCTTTTAGTAAGAGTTAGGGGGTAAAAGCAGTGTAGTAATAATAGTGTAGGACTAGTAGTTACCACTAGTGTCTCTACAGTTCCCTAGCTGGACACGTTAGTTTCTCCCTTGCCAGGGTTTGTTTCGTATGGTTAACTACATTAGTTTCTGGTTTGATTATACATTGGACCCAGGTACCCTGTACCCTCCATCATTTTTTTTTTTTTTTTTTTGGTACTGGGAATTGAACTCGTGACCTTGTACTTGCTAGTCAGGCCCTGAAGCTGCTGAGCTGTATCCCCAGCACTATCGTGCACCATTTAAATTCTTTCTCCTTTCCTGTTTATTTTCTCTCTCAGACTGACACAAATCTCCCCTCCCTATCCCCTACTTTGTAACATAAACACTGCCAACATATCGTATTTTGATTACTTTTACCTATTTTTCTTTTTTGTTTTTCCTTTCTTTCTACCTCTCTATTAGCATGTCGATTCTGACATTTGTACAGCTTCCCTCAATCTCCAGTTGTACCTTCCTCCCTTTTCATTCTTTTCTGGCCTCTCAAAAAACCTCTCAAACCCCTCTCCTCCTCCCTCCATTTCAGATATAAAATTAATATTACCAAAGCCCTGTTTCTTGTCTTTCATTTGCTGTTGTCTCTCTTGTATTCTTTCCTTCTTTCTGAGCTACTTTCTTCCATTTCGGTCTTCATTTGAGTAAGAATCTGATCTGAGTATCCTAATCCTCCTTCATGAACATCCCCTTGGAGGGCAGAAGAGAGGGGACTTCTGCAATCCCTGCCTCAGTGGTGGAGAGAACCTGAAGGCAGAGGTCTCTGCACTCACTGCATGATCAAAGTCACAGTCACATCTCACTGTGCAGCAGATTTTCTGCAGTCACCATTCCCACAGCCACGGAGGCCTGATTCCTCTGAGCCTGAGGAGGAAAGGATGGTTCTTAGACACACTGTAAAAATAGCAGGAGCGAGGGAAGGTGACTTGCACTTAACGCACGTCAGGGATGCTGGGCTTGGGACACACTGAACACAGTGACTGACCAGAAGCTTTCAGACTCACTGGTCTCTGACTCAGCCCTGTGGACACAAATGTTTCAAATGCCTGCCTTTTCATCTGTCATCTCCCTGGAGGCATACTGAGTCCTGAGAACTGATATGTGTTATTTTAGACATGATCAGTTTAAGATATATTAGCAATAAATCAAAATATAAACTAAGGTAAGAAGAAACATAGTGATCACCAAGGTAAACATAGCTCCAGGCAGTGCAGCAGGAGAAGGATTTGGCAGAGAATGCAGGGAAGGTTTTAGTATCGCTTCCCTATGAGTACCCATCACTGTGTAATGCTGAGAACTTCCATGCCAGATACTACAGTAATAGTCAGCATCATCCTCAGGCTGTGTCCCAGAGATGTACAGAATACCTGCATTGGCTGAAGTATCTTTGGATCCCAAGAGGCGGCTGGGGACTCCAGATCCCAATTGTGTACTTACATAGTAGTACAGCAGAAACCAGGGAGGGCTCCCTGGCTTCTGCTGATACCAGTGTATTGTGAAACCACCAACATTGGAATCACTGCTCAGGGTGCAGGTGAGTCTGGCTGATGCTCCAACAGATTCAGAGAGGGAGGGAGGCTGAGTGAGCACAGGCTGGGAGAAGGAACCTAGACACAGAGACATGCTTGTATGAGCAAGCAGGGACAAAAATTGAGCTGCTTTTTTCCAACCACCGCACACTGACACAGGCTGGAAAGATGCCTGGGTCAGTGAGGTCTGTCACTACCTGAGAAGTGAAAGAATAGGAAGAGGACAGTGGCCCAGGCCATGGTCAACACAGCCCTTGTGATGTTCAGACCTCAAATAAACTACTTCAAGCCTCTTTTATTCCTTCCACCAGCCTCATGGAGGAGGATTCATTACTGCAAGTGTGGTCCTGCCCCTTACCTTCCCCTACACTTCCACACATATTCACAAAGCTTCAGAGGCTGGTGGATGAGAGAGTTGGGGAGCAGTAGGTGGTGGGGGGAGTGCAAGCACCGGCCCGGAGAGACTCAGCTGCTACACTGAGTACAGCTGCACTGCTCTAGCCCTGGGGAATTTGGGGAATGGATAGCTACAAGCCCTCATTGTGCAAATCCTGAGACAGCCCCATAGCACCTCTTGTTGCTCACTGTGCGAACTTCAATCTCTAAGTGGAAATGGTGTTAGAAGTGGCCTCTGTCAGAATGCTTAGTCAGTGGTATACTATAGATACCCAGCTCACACCACAGTGCTGTCACAAGGCAAATGATGCGCACTAATAGCCTTTGCTATGGAGGATTTCTGGATTAAGCCTGTAGGTAGATAATAGACACAGAAAATATGACAAGTATCTAAGTGGGAAGGTGAAGTAAGGTGAGGATGCAGAAGGCTCCAGGAGCCAAGACCTGAGCAGCTCCTTCAACAGAGGACAAGGAAGGAGGAATTGTGACCTATTTTGAGTGGACATTGATATTCTGCTATAGGACAAAGAAAGAATGTGACAATCCTAGAGGAAGCAGGTTTTCAGAAGATGGTGCAATATGTCTAAATATCCCAAGAAATCAAATAGTGTGAAATGCTGGAGAATGGCAAAATTTTTCAGATTCTTTAATCTCATATCTCTTGGCTGATTACATTGCCAGACATACTTTGTGTCTATACTGCTGCCTTCACTGTGACAGATAATATTTCTCCTGAGATGCTAACACTTCAGATGGAATCAGTACAGCCTGAGCATACAACCCTGTGAAATAAACATAAGTAAATATCTACAGTCTGGCATTCCTGGAAATGAATCATCCCATTACAAAACACATATGAAAAATGTAGTGTGAACCAGATATACAGAATTTAGAGGTAAAAGCATGGAAAGCCACCGTGCATGAAGCAAAACAAAATGTTGTAAATGGAAAGGAGAAGAGACTAAATGTCACAACAAGATGACCTACTGAGGATGTGAAATTAACATCACTCATCATGGGATTCTCCTGGACACCCATGTGTGTGCACACTGATGTCATTTGGGTTGGAACTTCCAACAGTCAGGGATCCTGCTTTCTTCCTCTTTCTTTGTTGCCCAAGTTTCAAGAGGATTTTCAATGTCACACTCAGTGTCAATCTCCCAAGTGCAACATGTTTCTGCTTGTATGGACGTGTTCCTTAAAAAGCTAAAATATCCTTTCTTCTCCATGAGGTGGACCAATTACTGAGCTTCTTGTCTAAACAGAACTGAGAAAATGCACTTTAGTCTTCTTTTCTACAGAATTAGTACATGATATACTCTAATTTTGTCTGATTTCTCATGCACAACCATCTTGTCAGATTAACATGTCTATTTCTTATGTAAAGGCTCAGAAGTACACACAGGTGTCTGTTATTGTTCCAGGGGAAGATAGAGGTCACTGGAAAGTGGACAAAAAACAGACTAAGGAGCATCATTCCATTGACAGGAGGAATTCAGTTTTGAAAAATCAAAACTTGTGTGCTGATATGTATCCTGCTCTATTTTTGATATTGGTTATTAATTCTCAGGGCTCTTTGGTAAAATTCTTTCAGTCTGCATGTTGTCTGCAAATAACAGTAATGAAGCTATAAGATCCAGTTCATCCTCCTGGTCAGCTTCCCTGAGGAGCAAATTTATGTTAGTCTCTGTTCTCCAGGCCCTGAGAACAAAAGTGCAAGTTTCTGATTTAAAATCTACTCTTCAAAAGACTCAAA